AGTATAAGTAATTTGACTCGATTATCAATCTTTATGTATAGATGCTAGAAGGAACTGTATTTATGAAAATTTGGTATTGTGTAGGTTAAGAGGATAGTCTGACGGTGATAAGATTTTATATAACAAAGTTTGGTGTAAACAGTTGCTTAAGTTTTTAATAAACTTTTTGATTTCTACTTACGCCCCCCCAAAAAAAAAACTTTTTTATTTGGACACTCCTTACTTTTTATATTGAATATGGTGATTGTATTTAGGTATATTAATTTATTTTAAGTTTTTATTAGATAAAAAAGCGAAAGTAAAAGTGAATTACACAAAATTAAATAAATTATTCTTTATATATAATAATTGTTTTATCTGAAAATGTTGAAGTTCATTTTATTTGTTTAATTAGTTTATATTGATTAGTAATACAATCGGCTTGGTGTTGCCCTTACTTTGATTGTGGTCCCTTCTTATGATTATTGCTCCGTTTCGTAGGAAGGATGAAAAGTATATAAGATAGAAAATATGAGAGATATATTTTTTATATTTTAAGGATATAAAATAGGAATGATACACTTTTTTTTTTTTTTTTTTTTTTGGTTGGATAGATGAAAAATAAAAATGACTAATTTTTTTTTGTGATGCCTAAGATTAGAGTTGACAATCAAGTCGTGTCGTGTCAAATTCGTGTTGAGTCATAAAATTATGAGTCTTTTATATTTCTTGTTCGCGTGTTAGGTCATTTTCAAGTTCGTGTCGGGTTATAATCAAGTTCGTGTCATAAAATTTGTATCGAGTTCAAGTTATGTCATCATGTTGAGTCAAAAATTTTCACTCCTAATTACGATGAAAAAAATATTTTTTTTAATTTTAATTTTAATTTTTAAAAATATATATATATATGTACATATTTTATTATTATATTTTTATATGAAATTAATGTACACATAATATATATAAACAAATGAGATACATTTTAATACAAATAAATAATTTTTCATCCACTTTTTTCTTTCGATTTTGAAGAGATTGATTTTAGTGAGTTGGAAGAAAAGTTAATTCATCTTCTTACTTTCCTTCTTTATCAAACATGATATTTTATTTATTCCTCAAATTTTTTAATTTTTCATTATACCAAACGGAACACACGTGTTTGTGTTGGTGGGGGAAGATTATGGTATCTAAATTTTTTTGATATAAATTATTTATAATATAATAAATAATAAATAATTTTTAAAGTTCAAATTATTGGCGATTTTCCAGCCCAAAAATTATATATGACCCAAAAGTTAAAAGAAAAGAAAAGGCCACAAAAATCGTGCCGTTGTCTTCTCTCCCATGTCGGTGATGTCCATGTGTTTACAGCTCCAGCCAATGAAAGCAGTTGCCTAATGTAACCTTAGATTTTGCTTTTCGCGAATCTCTATGTTTTCTTTTTTGGAAAGTAAACATAGGGATTCCCGACGTTACTCTGTTGTTCGTTCTTGCTTCCCCACTGTCTCAGTCAGTCTCTCTATCTCTCTCAGGCCCGGCCCTAGATATATGCAAAAGGTTTTGCTGCTCTGCTTTCTGGCAGCCTCAGTTTTGCTTTTCTTCTCTTCAATCTCAGTCCCACTCCCCAGGGTATGAATTATTGAGTTCCATTAGCCTAACATTATTTTGCTCTTACCCCTCTTGAATAAAAATTTTATTTCGTTTATTAACTTGATTCACTATAATTTTTTGATTGATTATAAAAATTTCGTCTCGTTTGGACCAAAATTTGTTAGGCGACTTATTCAATAGATTTTTAGGCAAAATAACTTTTATCAGCACAAAAGAAAAACTAAAAAAAAAATGACTTATCTAAGAATTTTTAAAGAAAAATCGACTTTTTCAAAAACATTTTAAATGGTTTCAAGAGTTTTTTAACTCAGATTTTTTCATTTCATTTTTCAAACTTATGATTTGTACCAGTTGCAAGCCTCCTAAACAAGTAACAATAGTTTTATGGTCTTGTTATTGGCTTGGTCAGAATCATGGTTTATAACTTTCTAAAAAAAAAATCCTACCATATCAAAAGTTATAACTATTTATTGTAAAGTTATACCTTTGAAATGAGACACACGATTGATCATAAATTTTATCTAAACAATTGTAATTTATTTATTATGAGTTATAAATTTGATATTTAAAAAATTATAATTTTTGATACGATACCACGGACAATATTGTAGACTTTCTCAAAAGGACAAATACGAAAAAGGAGGCGAGATGAGAAAACTCAAGAGTAGTGTATTCTTCATTATCAAATTGCAGTTGTACTTGAATTTCAGCATCAATGCTGCAAAGGCCTTACCCTACATTACGAATCATTTGAACCATCATCATCCAAAATTCCCCAACTTAGCTTTAGGGGGTCCACTGGTCGCAAGCTGAGTCTGTTTACACTTTGAACCATAAAAAAGACAACGACCCTTGATTGATCTTTTTTACCATAGGTGAAAAAAAGGTATCTTCTTTTGTGCCATCATAATAAATTAGGATGGATTTCAATTACACATACTTTATACTCGTGATTGTAATGTAATTGAAGTTGTTTGAAATCACATATGAATCGCAGTATTAAAACAAATAAAATGTCTCTTAAAATTAACCCTCAAGATAATAATCTCAAAGATATAAATTGTTTGAACTATCATCTTGGATTCTTTAATGGACTATTTACACCTACCCACTTTGCCGCTTTTAATGGACATATGCCTTTAATATTGATATTAGAGCGATGAAAAATACCATGAAAAGAATCATAATCACATTTAGGGTTGATAATTGAACTAGTTCGACCCGAATCTTTTGAGCTTGTGTTTTTTAAATGATCTTAAAAAATTGTTCAAAATGAACTGAATCTGAATGAACTCAAAACGAGTCGAATTCGAGTCGATTTCAAGTATTGACATATAAACAAGTCGAGTTTATCAAGCTCATTTTTTAAACGAGTCTAAAAAATTATCTAAATTTAACTTTTTAAAAAATAAATCGAATTTAAATGAGTCTAAAGCAAGTCAAATTAAAACCGAACTCGAATAGCTTAATTGGATTATCAGCCCATTGGTAGATTTAAAACTTTTTTGACAGACTTGGGCAATTCAAGTCGGTTGGCAGTGCCAGTCTGAAGGATGTATGCTTATCATTGAAAAGAAAAACACAAATATGGACCATATGCCATTAACTGACAATGAGGCACATATAGAAAATACAGAAGTGTAGTCGCAAAAACAGCATTACACAAAAGTACAAGGGCTCCGTTGCAAAAACCCAAAATTAAATGCAACAAAATGACAAAAAAGATAATGATTTGGGCACCTTAGAGTGGTGCACCTCTTATAATCGGTGGAAATAAAAATTTGAATATGGATAACTTTTTAATAAACTAACCATTAAAAAATGCAGATATGGTGGGTAATGCAGCAACTCAGACCTTCCATCCATGCTTGAGATGAGGGAGACATCCACAGGTTGAGGAGAGAGAGAGAGAGAGGAGGTTTAAGGGAGGCTTAGGTCTACCAACTGGTAGTTAGAGATTGCACTCCTTAACCAAACATCATCAACAGGAATAGCCAAGTCAAGCAACAGCACCAACAACTAGGGGGTAGAGAGAGAAAGAAAGCAAAGCTAAGCAAAGCCAGAAAGCGATACCATTAATAGGGAATTTAAGACAGAAAGGGGAAGTTATGATTTCTTTTAGGGAAGAATTTGAGGTTCATAGATAAAGAAACCTTTGAGGTGTTTTCATGTAGATATAGAGAGAGTACAAAAGAAGAGAGAGAGAGAGAGAGAGACTGTATGCAATTCTCACGTGCGCAGAGAAATATGGATGGAATGATGGAAAAAGAAAATATATGATAGGAAAAGAGTCTTTGGGTGATGATTTTCGTACTTTGAACTTCAATATACTAAAGTTCAGTTTCTGATTTCTTTCTTTCTTTCTGTTTTTCGAGTTGTTGATGCTTGTGAATGCGTATGAGAGAGAGAGAGGTCAAAAGGGTTCTTGTTTGAGTCGCGGGATCGGTATGGTTCCGTCAAGGATGATCTTTCCGGCGATCGGAGCTTTTGTGTTCCCCATAAAACAAACAACTGTTATCGGTTTTCAGGTACTTCAATATTTTATTGTTTTTACGGCTGACTTTGTTTTCATTATCTTCTTATAGCTGCTTACGACAAATAAATTACTTTCATCTCTCTCTTCTTCTCTCAAGGTCTGTGGACTTGATGATCAACTTCTGCTAATTCTTCTTGAATATCTATTGTGGATTATGGATCTTTCTCTCACTTCTTTTTCCTCTCTCCTTTTCCCCTTTTTTTTCTCCTTTTTCTTCTTGGTGGACATCCAGAAAAATTATGTTTTTCTTGGTTTTGACAGTTTGATTAGCTCTTTATTATGTGATTTTTCTATGTATTTCTGGGGTTTTCTTCTGATTCTGTTTTCAGGGCTCTTAGAGTAGTCAAAGGTTCCATTTTGCTAACATTATTTATTTGTGACTGTTTGAATTTGTTTCGTTTGAACCTGTTTATGTTAATGCAAATCCATGGTGTAGTATTGTTTTTCTAATTCTGTTTGATAAATGGTGATTAGAAATATCGAATTTCCTGTTCATAGAATCCAATCATAAAATTATTATTTGTGTCCATGTTCCTGAGCATTTTTAGGCACTTTTAAGAACCAGTTGAAAGATTTTATAATTGAATAACACTTTTTTCTATTTTCGGTCTTAGAATCGGCATCAACTGATAATTCTTACATTGGCCTGTAACGACAGATTTCGTGTGTAACATAACACAAAAACAATGTTAGATTACAATTGTTTGATTTGTTTAACTTGAATTATTAAAAGTAATGTGGTCTCTCTTCGGGCCTAATCACAGACATTATTTAACTAATTTTGTTAATGTATACATGGCCATTTTCAGTTCACAGAGTAACTAGGTAATCGAATCAAATTCCTCAGTATCATAGTTTGGGAATTGACAAAGAGATGGCCACTTATTTCCCCAGTTCAAACAATCAAAGAGATGTTGCACCAATGCTCTATATGAGCCAACCTCTGTCCAGCTCTCATACTGAACCATCGGTTCTTCCTGGGAATATGATGATGTATATGAACTACTCATCTTCTGCTGCCTCATATTCGGATACATTGGTAGGGAATTCCCAGCAGATTGATGTTATGGCTATGGGAGTTTCGGATTCCAACTCATCACAACAAGGAATTATGGCAAATCTCGGGGGGTCTCGAACTGGGGAACATGATTTCAGTACATGGAGGGATGGTAGGAGTGAAATGCTACTGATGCACCCTATGGATGGTGCCATGGACACACTTCAAAGCAGACAAAACTCTCAAGGATTATCCCTCAGCCTCAGTACTCATATTCCATCTGGAATTCAAATGTCTTCTATGCAGTACAGGAGTAATAATCCTGGTTTTTCTTCATTCTTGAGTCCTAATCCATCCCGGCGAGGGTTGTGGGAGGAATGTGTCTTTTAGACATGAGAACTCTCAAAATACACAATCAAGCAATACTGGAAACATTCCACATGCTTTTCTAGCGAGCAGTCCGGATTCAATGAAAGCAGATATTTCTTCATTTGGAATGCCAACTACAAGAACCATTCCGAATTTCAAGTACCTAAAGGCAGCACAGCAATTGCTTGATGAAGTTGTGAATGTCCGGAAAGCTCTGAAGCGGCATGATTCCAAGAAGGAGTTGGTGAAGGATTCTAAAGAAGTTGATGGCGGATCAAAAGATGATAGCTCAGTGCCTCCCGCAAATGGAGAGTCTTCAAACCCACGAGAGTCGTTGAGCGACTCACCAAGTGAGCTTTCAGCTGCTGAAAAACAGGATCTACAAAACAAGATGACCGAGCTTTTGTCTATGCTGGATGAGGTGAGACCATTACCAATACCCTCTTAAGTGTTTGGTTTGCTAGGTTTTAAAGTCTTTATCAACGGGCTTTTGGTCTAATGGTACTACTTGTTTTATGAAAGCTTTACCCTCTTGAGGTCAAGGGTTCAAGCCCCTCCCCCTCCCCCACCCCCGAAAGAAAAAAAAAAAATGATGTCTCTGGTCTTAATAGTCAATTATTTTGTAATCTCTGCACCTACCTCCAAACCTTTCAGTGCTTGCTGATTTTGGCTAAATTGCTTCTTTGTGTTTTGAACCCCCCTCCACCCCCAAATTCATTCATTTTCACTTGAAGATTTCATGTTTTTATTGTATGTAATTGAAGATTATGAGATTTTTTCTGCATTTTTCGGTGTGGTACTGCTAACTGGAACATATACAAAAGATGAGATTTATATTTGCATGCATCATGATTTCTCAAAGAAGGTCCTATAAAGGAAGACAAAATTGAAGGACCTGCTATGCCTAACAAGTTTGATGTGATAATGTGACATGAAATTGCAAAGCTTAAGTTCCAGTGATTTGCCTACAAATTCTGGGGGTTTCTTCCTTGTATGGGAACAACATAATGGATGCAACAAAGTGGATTCATGATGGTGTTTATCTGTTTATCTAAATTATGTGGTTTTTGACTTCATCAAAAGCATTGTTCATTTCCTCCCAAATTCTCAAAAATGTCTTAGATTTATTTACCCCCTCAAAAAACTACACACACATGTGCACTAATAAAGGAAGATCGAAAACATATCGCTACCTTTTTGGGTTCTTGGAACTTACCAGGGCAAATAAAAAGCCAGTAATCTGAAAATTGTGAACTGCAAGAAAGTGGAAAGAATTCAGAGCTGTACGCCTATTCGTTTAATAGTGTAAACCATTGCATCAAGATGAGCATGTCTCAGTGTAACCGTCTACCACATCCCCATGGTCTATATCTTCCTAGATTTGATAATTAACATTCTATTGTCACAGGTTGATAGGAGGTACAAACAGTATTATCACCAAATGCAGACCATTGTTTCTTCATTTGATGCAATAGCAGGATTTGGGGCAGCTAAACCCTACACAGCACTTGCCCTCCAAACAATTTCACGTCACTTTCGTTGCTTGCGTGATGCAATAGATGGTCAGATTCGAGTAACAAGGAGAAGCCTCAGGGAACAAGATGGTTCAACAAGTAGTAAAGAGGTTGGAATATCTCGCCTTCGTTATGTGGACCAGCAGATCAGACAACAGAGAGCCCTTCAGCAGTTTGGTATGATGCAACAACACGCGTGGAGGCCACAGAGGGGGCTGCCCGAAAGCTCTGTCTCAATTCTGCGTGCTTGGCTTTTTGAGCATTTTCTCCATCCGTAAGTCTCCCCTGCAAACCTATTCATTCTTTTGATTTTTTTCCTCCGTTGCACTTTTCATTATGTTTGAGCACTTCAACTGATTTTTTTTTCATAAATTTCCTGCTGTCCAGCTACCCGAAAGATTCTGATAAGATCATTTTAGCAAGGCAAACAGGTTTGACAAGAAGTCAGGTAAAAAAAACTATTATATTGTATTGTAATGTGCAAGATAAGACTCATGCTTAGGGGCATACATGATACAACATTATTCTTTTGGTTGAGCTGAAGTTTGTTCCTTCATCACTCATGTTGATAATCTAGGTTGGGAACTATTTTTTTGAAATGGTATCAGGGATTAATGTAGATATTATGGTGAAAATTTGCTAAAATCAACCATGTTGGCGATAGCTAGACTTTCCGTAACAAAGTGGAAAGCATTTAGTTTGAAATTGTTCAGGAAAAAGTTATTCCTGTTAAGTGATTACTTATTACCTTTGGAGGACAATTTCACTTTGGCAGTCATCTAGGGGAACAACAGTGTGGTCTGTGATTGTGAGAGCAGATGAGCTATGTTTACTTTTGAGAGATTCATGGGAGGGGAGGGCTAGGAAAACATTCGAGCTGTAAACTTGCAATATGGACATGAAAAAGATATTGAGACAGAATATGAAT